AAATTTCATTTTCGTTTTGGTGATAAAGCAAGGTATTGCCAAGGGAGTTGGTGTAAATTGAACTCATCTTTTACTGAAAAATCAAAAAAACTAACAAAAGTTTCAATAGAGATTAAATATATCCTTTACGACGATCTTAATAACCTTAACTTTCTTATTGACTCCGGAGCAGACATTTCGGTACTTCCTGTTTCTTTATTTCCTTCTCACAAAAGAGAAAAATCCTTGGTATTGTCTGCCGCTAATGGTAGCAAAATTAAAACGTTTGGAAAAAATTACTTTCTGTATCTTTACGTCTAAGACGCACATTTCCATTCGAACAATTCGAACAACAATTCGAATCCCATCTCTTTCGACAATTCAATAAGTTGTTGGGATCTCAACAGATCCACACCTCTTCTTATCATCCCCACAGCAACGGCATTTTGGAAAGGTTCCACAGGACCCTTAAAAATGCCATCACCGCCAAAGGATGCAGCTATAGGTGGAACAACAATCTTCCTGTAATTTTACTGAGTTTAAGATCCTGTTTAAAGGAAGATCTCGGTTGTTGCCCCGCTGAACTAGTCAAGGGGTGCACTGCACCCGGGCGCTGCCTAAAAGGGGGTGCCGACGCCTTTTAATGTTTTCTCCAACAATATCTTATCTTTCTTTTGCAGTATTTAGAAATGTCAGTAGTAGCTAGTCTTCAGAAAGCAGTATTTAATCTCCACAAAGCAATTTTAGTCTTTAGAAAGCAGTATTTAGTGTTCCAGACGCTGTATTTAGACCTGTCGGCAGTATCTAGTCTTCAGAAAGCAGTATTTAGCTCCACAAAGCAATTTTAGTCTTTAGAAAGCAGTATTTAGTGTTCCAGACGCTGTATTTAGACCTGTCGGCAGTATCTAGTCTTCAGAAAGCAGTATTTAGTCTTCTAGAAGCAGTATCTAGTCTTCTGCCAACGTTATGTATGTTTTCTCCAACAATATCTTATCTTTCTTTTGCAGTACTTAGACCTGTCAGCAGTATCTAGTCTTCAGAAAGCAGTATTTAGTGTTCCAGATGCTGTATTTAGACCTGTCGGCAGTATCTAGTCTTCAGAAAGCAGTATTTAATCTTCCAGAGCAGTATCTAGTCTTCAGAAAGCAGTATTTAGTTTTTTAGAAGCAGTATCTAGTCTTCTGCCAACGTTATGTATGTTTTGTTCTTGATACTGACAGCTACTTCTTTCTGGGTGTCTATCATCATCTTTTTGGGAGCCTCTTATTATCTATACGGATCTTGTACCACCCGGTACCTCATTTCTGCAGCTGTTACTTTGCTTTTGTGCTTATCCTGCATTGGCAAAGTTTCCGTATTGGTGATTTCCTGTCCTGTGCAATAACAAGACAAGTCCATTGGTTTCTTGTTCATATTCTTCGCATTCTTTTATTGAACACATAAGTATTGCCATGAAAAATCATGTTTGGTTTATAATCAATTTTTTGTTTTCTCTGAACAGTAATTTCAGACTTCATGTGGACTTTGAACAATGTAATTCCTGTTTTTTGCTGAAGTCTAGTTTATAACTATTGCAATTTCAGACTTTTTCTTGCAAATTAACCTTCTGACCAGAGTATTCCCGACTATTCCCTTAAGTTTGGTTTTTCACCAGTATAATTCTTAAATTTTTGCTGAAGTATGGATTATGATTATTCCAGTCTTTTTTAAGTTTATTTATATTTCTTTGATTATATATATTTTTTTAATTAAAATGCATTTTTTAATTTTTCCCCTGCATTTTGGGCGCCCCCCCCCCCACATATTAGCGCCGGCACTGCATCTTTAATCCATAAAATTATTTTATCTTTTATTAGAGATGCTTCTTGTTCTCCAAATTCACATTCCTTAGCAAACTTTTTTAAATCCGTTAAATATCTGTCAAACCCTTCTCCATCATCTTGCGATCTATTGAAAAATTTAAACCTACTAAATACCACGTTTTTCTTCGGATTACAATATTCGTCAAACTTTTTAACAACAGCACTATAGTTCTTTTTCTACTCATCGGTAAGTTGAAACGTATTATGAACATGCAAATCTTCAATCTCCGATAGCATTAAGTAACATTGCAGTCTTTATCTGGTCATCTTTCTTTTCTTTTTCCGTTGCTTTTAAGTAGATTTCAAATCTTTGCTTGAAGCTTTTCCAACTTTCATCAACGTTTTCGTTGAATGTCACTCCTTGCGGGGGCTTAAAACATACCATTGTTTTTCGTGAGTTTGTTCTTTTAACCTGACACCATGTGATGACTTTCAGTCAAATAATAAGAATTCCACAAAGGATTTATAACAACTTTATTAACGTTAACTTTACTTAACACACAACAATAGTAACTTATAACCTTAGGACTTCTTCTTCTTCTTAAAACCAGGGGTATCCACTTGGTGTATGGGCTTATATAGCCCTTTTACCACCAGTCACAATTTTTTTTTTATATCAGTTTATCTTCAAATTAGGTAGCCCTGTGGAGAGATAAAGTTCCAAAGATCGAAACAACTGAAATAAACGAACCACCGGAAGGGGGGGATGATCCTTCCTTACTACCTTAACCCACTACACCACTTTTACTTCCTTAAGCACCTACATGCCTATAGCCCACCGAACGGCGTCAGATGTACATCCCCGGGTCAACCCCTCGAAAGGATGAACATCTACCGAACAGTCATACATGCATTAAAAATAAAATCAAACAAAAATTCCTATCTTGCACAAAAAATAAAAAAGCATTCTCAAAACTCTAGCGTTATTGGTCGCCAAAAGTGAACTAACATTATATGGAGGAAAAATACCCTCCCTTCTCAACTTAACAAACATTCTACTTCTATCCAACTCATACGTTTCACATGCCAAAATAATGTGGTTAAGATCACAAAATTCTCCGCAACTGCAGTTTGGAGAATCCGCCATGCCAATCCTATACAGATGTGCAGGAAACATGCCATGTCCCACTCTCATGCGATTAATTGTAGTGTATCCCAATCCCGCTGCCACAAATCCATACATCTCTCTTGAGTTCGTAGACAATGTCACTAACGTCCTTGCGTATCTGATACCATGGACCAGTGTCGCCCGCTGCCAGACCATCCGCCCTCTCATTCCCAACAATTCTCACATGGCCAGGAATCCAAGCCAACTCAATCTTCAGCTCTTCTACAGTACACTGCCAGCTAAGCTCTTTAACTTTGTTCACCAGATAATGTACCTTCATCTTTCTTCCCATGGCCACCTCCAATGCACGGATCACACTCAACGAATCCGTGAATATCACCACTGGTGACACCCTGTTTGTCTTTACATAGTCCATTGCCCACCATACAGCAAACAGTTCTGCCACAAATATGTTAGTATGGTCCGATAGTTTTCCGGAATGAGACAACTCCAAGTCGGGCGCATATACACCAAAATGAACTCGTCTGGTTAGATCCCCTGTCACCGAAGCATCTGTAAAAATAAATTTTGCACCCGGCCACGACGCCTGAACTTCTCGATTAAATACTGCATTATAGTTAAAACTAACTGCAGGCAATATTTGTCTAAGTTTAGCACATACTAAATGGGTTCTCACTTTGGGGGCATGCACATACACATCAAAATCTACTCTAAACATGTCCAACACATTAGTACGTCGCATATCTACTATTCTTGGTAGCAGGGTTATCTCTTTATAATCAATGCTACTCTACTATCGGCCACCCTGCCATCTCTATGTAGTTGGCTCAAATTTTCCATTAAATTTCCTACCGAACCAGATCTACGCATAAGGTTTTTCACAACAAACCTATCCATTAACAGGCGCAACCTTAAATCCAATGGCATAATATCCACTTCCACCAATAGCGCATTAGTCGGTGTAGATCTAATTGCACCAGTAATAGCCCTAGCTGTCTGGAGCTGAATGCCAGCTAACTTCTTAAACACCGGAACTGGGACAGGCAACATCAACCAAGTAACAAACTCCAGTCTAGACTAAATAAGTGCTTTATAGAGTAACGCAGAAACAATCGGACCACATCCCCATCTAGTTGATGAAAGAGACCTCAGCAGATTAAGTGCCTTCTGACAGCTATTTACAATATAGTTCACATGCTCCCTCCAAGACAACCTCACATTCAGATGTACACCCAAGTATACCGTGTTCACCGTCGTTGCGATATTTTCACCCCTTAGCCTAATTGGAGGGATGAGCCCAGGTCTTCTCCTGCGGCTAAAAAACATTGCCTTCGACTTACTAGGTGCCAGACTCAAATTACGTTCTTCGAGAAAACTCGCTGTCGCATTTAATGCATCGTTCATGATCTCAACTGCCAATTTAGTGGAATCCCCCTCCTTCAACAGAACCACATCGTCTGCGAACACAACAGTTTTTATTTCACGCGCCTCATTAATAATACTAATGCCTCTGATGTAGTTGTTAAATAGTATCGGACTGGGAGAGCTTCCCTGGGGCAAACCCCTCTATGAAGTTCTACCTCCAATCTTGTTGGGATCATGTTTGAGCTGATATACATTTCTGGTTATTACTTGACGCAGAAAAGCATCTCGACCCAGCATTCTCAATAATAAGGTAATGTTGACATTATCATAAGCTGACAAAATATCAATAAACACTCCAACCATAATATTCCCTCGATAAAACGCCTTCTGTATAGACCCAATCACCGTGAGAAGGCAATGAGCCCTTTCTAAATCCAAAATCAAGCATCAAATGGGATTCCATTCACCATTCTTTCGAGTAATTTCCTGGAAGAATTGATTAGCGAAATATCCCTCTCTCGTATTAGGGTCTTTACTCCTCTTAGAAATCAGAACCACCTGTATTTCACGACAGAAAAACTCGAAACTCGCTGAATAAACTCGTCTACAGTAAACCTTTATGCTCCGCAAATATTATGGATTTATCTTCACGCGTTCAGATTATAAAGATGTACTCGTGAATTATTTCCAATAGTGTCTTTCCGTTTATTATTGTATTATTTTAGCTCGAAGTCCTGTGTTTTCTCACTTAAACGCATCTATACAAGGTTTAACAACAATAAGGGCGTTCAAAGCGCAAAGTGTTTTAGAACGAGAATTTGATAACCACCAAGATTTACATAGCAGTTCTTGGTACATTTTCTTATCGTCATCTCGGGCGTTTGGTTATTGGCTCGATTTAATCTGTATTATTTACATTACATTGGTTACACTAAGTTTTCTTATATTAGGAGAGGGTAATACTAAATTAATAAAAGCAAAATTAGTTTTTAATTTTTATGAATTTAGAAAAATTTGGTGGGAATGTTGGTTTGGCAATAACGCAATCGATAGGATTAACAGGAATGTTTCAATGGGGAATGCGTCAATCAACGGAGCTTGAAAATCAAATGACGGCTGTTGAGCGTGTACTTCAATACACCGATTTAGAGAGAGAATCCGCGTTGGAAACTGTTAAAGAAAAGAAACCTCCACCGAGCTGGCCGAGTGAAGGAAAACTTGAATTTTCGCGATTATTTTTATTCTATTCCCCTGATGAGCCGGCGGTTCTTAAAGGGTTAAATTTTATTATCAAACCAAAAGAGAAAGTTGGAATAGTCGGGCGAACCGGAGCTGGGAAATCATCGTTAATAGCCGCTTTATTTAGATTAACAGAAATGGAAGGAAGTATTTATTTGGATGATATTGATACAAAAGATTTGGGGTTGCACGATTTAAGATCAAAAATTTCTATTATCCCACAAGTACTTGTAATTAATTTTTATTATTTTAAAATAATTTCTTTTTTTTTGTAGGAACCAGTTTTATTTTCTGGTACAATGCGTAAAAACCTGGACCCATTCGACGAATATAACGATGAAGCCTTATGGAAAGCTTTAGAAGACGTCGAACTTAAAGAAGCCGTCCAAGATTTATCGGCTGGTTTAAATTCGCAAATGTCGGAAGGGGGGAGTAATTTTAGCGTGGGTCAACGTCAGTTAGTTTGTTTAGCTCGTGCGATAATTCGTAACAATCGTGTGTTGGTCTTGGATGAAGCAACAGCTAATGTTGACCCGCAGACAGATGCCTTAATTCAAACAACCATTAGGAAAAAATTCGCCGATTGTACCGTTTTAACAATCGCCCATCGTTTACATACAGTTATGGATTCTGATAAGGTTTTAGTTATGGATGCGGGAAATATGGTTGAATTTGATCATCCTTATATTTTGTTGGGGAATGAAGATGGTGTTTTGTATGGGATGGTTCAAAAAACCGGGAAAGCTATGGCTGAAGCTTTGTTTAAAATTTCACAACAGGTGAAACATTTTCAGACTTTTCTTTTATGTAAATAAAATTTTTGTTTTTTCAGAGTTATCAAAAACAGTTTAGAAAACAAGAAGCATCTGTAGAAGATTTATTTAACTAAATTGTTTTTTAAATTTTTTAACTTTGTTACTAAAAACTTTTTAAATACATATACTATAATAAACGCTATCCACCAATTTCTTCAATTTTTTCCAGTCCCTTGCCAATATTCTAGCTTCCATCCAATTTATTCCCCCTCCTCTTCAACGTTTCCCTGATGACTTCATCCCATGTCTGTTGCGGCCATCCTTGTCTTTTTCTCTCTTGCACTCTAGCTTACCAAGCTTTTTTATAACCGGTCAATTACTATTCATTCTTTGCTTAACTTAGCTGTTTTTTCTCGATGAAGTACTCGGACTACTAACTCTCCTCAAATACTTCATTTCAATCGCTTGTATATTGCTCTTCTGCTATCTTGATAGCGCCCATGTCTCGCACGCAACAGCCCTGTAGATTGTTTGGAACACGTTGATTTTTGTTTTCCATGATGTTTCTGCTTAGGTCAAAAATTCATTTTTCCATTACACTGCATTACCACTCCTAGATATTGAAAGGATGAACCTGTTCCAACTTTACGTCCTCTATCTTTATGCTAACTTGTTCGTCTTCTTCCCCCGCTACCATCAGCTTGGTTTTGTTTGCCGGGTAGCTTAATTGATCTTGAAATGGTTAATAAATTTTTTTATTGATTCTGCTCAAAATGTTCTGGTTCCTCCTAATCAGGATTTGTTGAGTTATCATCGTGACAATAGGATGCGTAGTGTGAATGGTGAGTTGACGTTTGAGCCTGTCTCAGTTAATAAAATGGAGAATTTATTATCATCCTTAAAATCAGGTGGTATTGGTTCTGATGGGATTTCTTTAGATATGATTTGTGTCACATATTTAATGTCTTTCTCCGGGAGTCTCTATTTCCATCTGCCTGGAAGTATGGTCTTGTAACTCCAATGCCGAAGTGAAAATCTGTAAAGGTTCTGAAGGATTTACGGCCTGTGATAATACTTCCTGCGTTGTCCAAGGTACTTGAGAGAGTGATTGTTGAACAGCTTTGTGACTACTTGAATGAGAATAATATTCTACCTGACAGACAATCGGGTTTCAGAAACCACTATAGCTGTGCTGCTGGACCTGACTGATGACGTCTTTAGGTCTCTTGATGAGGGAAGGTTGACAATGTTGATTCTTTTGGACTTCACTAAGTCTTTTGACATTTTAAATCATAATCTATTGGTGTCAATCTTACATTACATTGGAGTTAGTGGTGCGGCTGTTGAGTTGTTTTGGAATTATATTCAGGATAGGTGGCAGTCAGTTAGGGTGAACGATACAATCTCGTCTTCTATGGCAATTGCGTCTTGTGTGCCACGGGGTCCATCTTGCGTCCCATACTTTTCACAATTTTTACTTGTAATCTGTTTTCTGATTTAAGTGTCCTATCGTATCATTTGTGCGCGGATGCTGCGCAGCTGTACTGTAGCTTCCTGCCGCATGAGTTGCCGAATGTGTGCAGTCGAGTAACTGGTGAATTGCAGCAACTGTGTGCTCGCATTGAGCAACATTCATTGCTGATTAATCCTAATAAAACGCAAACTATCTTGTTTACTAAAAAGGGTGCGTTACATGTTGATAGAGTTGACATTAATATTGATATTGTAAATCAGCCATTGATATTTGAAACCTCTGTTAAAGCCTGGGTGTGGTGATTGATGAGCATTTGTCTTTTTCTGGTCATATGGGTATGCTTTGTGGTAGGGCATTTGGATCGTTGAAAGCACTTTATGGTAACAGGAATATTCTTTTTTGTGAATTGAAGCGACATTTGTGTGATTCACTAGTTCTTTCCCATTTTAATTATTGTAGTGCTGTGTTTAGTCCGTGATCCGTGCTCGTAGGGTGCAAATAGTTCAAAACTCTTGTCTACATTTTATTTATGGTATCGGGCGTAGAGAACATATTTCGGATAAGCTATTGCTCTGTAGGTGGCTGTGTATGGGACAGAAATTCATTACTCACTATCTGTGTCTGGTCTATTCAGTGTTATTTCATGAGAAGCCTCCTTATTTGGTTAATAAAATAAAGTTCAGGACTGATGTTCACCACCTTAATTTGAGGCATCGTTCCTGTGTTACCATTCCTGGGCACAAATCAGCAATCGTTTTCGTATCAAGTGGCTAGGGTGTGGAACGTGATCCCTGATTCCGTGAGGTGTGCTGGCTCTATCGCGTAATTTAGATCTTTAATGTTGCGGGACAAGTCGACTATAGGTTTTTCGTGCTTGGTTTTATTGATTATGAAATTTAGTACTATGTAAATAAGTTTCATTATTGCTCAGTTTTTTTTTAATTTTATTTTATGCGTTTTTATTTTGTTTGTTTGTTCTTTTTTTTTGTTTCACAAGTTGTGGAAGTTAAACCAGGTTGGTAATTGGCAAAAAAGTAATGGTCCTAATACGGAACCCTGGGGCACACCCCATGTCACATCTGAAAAACCAGAATACTCACCATTCAACTTTACAAATTGTTGTCTACGATTAGTTAAGTAACATGTCGAAAAACTGCCAACAATACACGATGGTTGACAGTATCAAACGCTTTGCTAAAGTCCAAAAGAACCAATATGATGATATTGTCATCTTTTGCTCTTATAAGGTCATCCGTAACATGTAATAAAGCAGTTGTACAGCTTCGGCCAGGGACGAACCCTGATTGATAAGCAGGCAGAATATTATTAAGGTTCAAATGTTCTCTCAACTGACCACATATAATCTTTTCCAATATTTTACTGGGAGCAGGTAGTATACTTATAGGAAGCAGATTTTTATAAGCTGTTGGCGAAGAATTTTTTGGTAGTGGAAGCACGATAGCCGATCTCCACTGTTAAGGGAGTAATTAAACTCTATGCAACTGTTCATTATATGTGTGATGTAAGTAAGTATACGAGAAAGTATCATCCCAATCATGTCAATGGAAATGCCATCCGATCCAACAGATTTGCTTTTTATATTTAGTATTATTGTTCGTACCGTGTCTTCATCAACGAATGCCAATCTAAAGTTCATACCTATATTGTCAAATACGGTATTATTGTAATTATCAATGAGTTCATCCTCACCATCCTCATCATTATTTATGATGAAGAAAAGCGGCATTAATTTCAGAAGTATTCATTAAAGTGATTGGTATTTGCCTTTTATTATTTTGCACAGCATTAATGGATCGAATGGCACTCCACAATTTACCACCACTGGTCTGAGAGTGCAGATATTCAAAATAGGCCTTCTTTTCATTTCGTAACGCAAGTGTTGTATAATTCCTTAATTGTTTGTAATAATCCCAATGAGCAGCAATTTTAGTTCTTCTAAACCTCGCCTTAGCTTTATTTCCCAAATTCTGTAATAATCTGATATTATCTATCAACCACGGCTAGTAATCAGTGCCGTCTTTACCGGTGCATGTAAATTAAACAAATCTAAGACTGTTTGGTTAAAAAAGCTTACTTTGAACAAAACATTTCAACATCCATATTAAAAATACAGTCGAACGGAGCGTTATTTAAATCAACATTATTTTATGTATAACAAAATGGCTTAACCAGTAGATGGGTGGACCCAATGTGACAATATACAATTTCATGGTCAGATGCTTCATTGTCCTGAACACCATGATCCAGAACAACAAGCGCAGCAGACACAGCGACTATATCCAGCAACGTAGAAGAATTAACAGTGATCTTTGTAGGACTCTGAATCAGTTGTACTAAATCCAGTGATTCAAAAACAGACATTAACCTCTTGGTGTCCGCACTATGCAAATTCAATAAATCTATGTTTATATCACCAAGGCACAACACATAATCATAAGACATTTTAAGCTCAACCAACTGGGACTCCAGTTGACTGTTAAAAAGAACATTATTTAAACCAGGGCGATTGTAAACACAACCAATATACTCAATTTGGTTCTGACAGAGACCCATACCTGCTCATAATCAGCTATACAATTAATGATATCACTCTGCAAATGCTGGCGCATATACATTAGACCGAAGTGAAAAACAGAAAAGTTTCCGAATCGAATAGTAATAGTGCGGAAAACTTGCTACTCGTTAATATGAATTGAGAAAAAAAAAATTTTTTAAATCGGACAATATCTTCCGTTCGCGCATCGCATTCAATGTTTAGGAATTTGAACAGAAATTGAATAGATATATGAAAAATCGTAAGAGGTGTAAATGATGTCCAATCGAGCTAATTTTTCGTACATAACATAATCTTGAAGTACACTACAAGAAAAAAAAAATGCCAACCCCTCCTACCCCACCCCCTTTCCACACCGCGGAGAGGGTTGGAGAGGCCATTTTTCGTTAAAAATAGCCAGAATTACAGGTGGTGTAAACCAGTGTGAAAGTTGATTTATCTATTTGAATTTTTATACAAAACGACCTTGGGGCTCAAACTCGAAAAATGGTCTAAAATGCAGAATGCTATGTCTTTTCCACTTTTTGAGGTAGGTACTAAATGACAAAGGTACTTCGAGCCTGGTTCCTTAATTACTGAAACGTGTTCTTCCTTTTGTACACAATGGTATCGTTTGCCTCCTTTTTCAACCAAGACTAAAGTATTAGCCATTCTACCATCGAAGTACACGCACATCGGACCGTTCATTTACCCCATACCTCCTCCGATGCGGTAAGTTTTAATCTAAATTTTTCTTTCTATCTTCTAATTTTGCTTCTATAAACGAAAAGAGATATATTACTATCAGTAATAAGACCTAGGTCTTTGAGTACGCTAGAAGTAATAGCAGCTGTTGCCCTGTCAGACACACCAAATCGATCACTTGTCAACGCAATTGCAGGAAGTGACAATCGCATCTGTGAAGTTTTTGAACAACCTGATTGAGACGACAAAGAGTGTGCGGACTGAAAGTCGGAATCATACTTATCATTATCAACTTCAAAAGTTATCTCTGGTTCAGGATCAATACTACTACAAGAGGGTCCAGGTAGGGTGGTCTGATTTAGCTGACGAGCTAAGTCTATCTGTCTCTGCAAATTTAGTGTAAGCTTTTGTATCCGCCGTCCCAATCTTACCTTGCCTGAGGTGTCTCTGAGCGTAAAGAATTCTTATTTCTAATTA